AGATATGAAAAGTAAAGTCATATTAATTAAAATCAAATTTTAGTTCAACCTTTTTATCTATTAGTCTATTCGGGTTCTTGCTTACAACAATATCATTGAAAATATAAATCGTGCTACGCTCATTTATCGTCCTGCAAACTCTTTTCTTAATTATGTTATTTTAATGAACAATTTGCTGAAGAAAATACTCAAGTAAAACAAAATTAGATGACGCGTTTTACGTGCTAAACCCCCGTTATATACCGTTCAAATAATTAACAGTTTAAATATTTTGAATAAACTTACACAAAATACATCAGTGGTGTGCGGTAAAACTGAATTATTGAATCTAATAGATCGTCAACATATAAACTAAACAAGATATAGCAAATACCGATACAAAAAAAAAAGGAAAGAAGAAATAGTCTTCACATTGTGAACACTAGACACTTGAGGTAGTTCTTGATTCAAACCCGAGAAGGAATGTAATCAAAAACCGAAATATCGTCCAAGAACATACAATTGTCAGGAGAAAACGGATATGTCGTCCAGAACTCGTCATCATCAATCACCAACTTATTATCACCACATTCTTGATTCATGATTTGGTCTATGCCTTGGTCTTCGATTGTTTCTTGGTGTKCAATTGATACAAGTTGAGGCATAACACATTCTTGATTCAAATGTTGGTCTATGTAGTCGATGACAATTGCTTGGTGATCAACTGGTACGATTTGAGGCATAACCGATGATTCGGGCATGGCTTGGTGGATGTTATCGAACCTTATCATCATCTTGGAACCGTTTGTAATAGCTTCATTAGGCTGCGCCAACACCCTAAATTCTTCACATATGTGTTTTCCAACATAGGTTGTTCTGTACACCGAAGGACTGTCTTGGATTTGTTGCACCCGCTTTGTAGCATTACAATTCATGTCTTCCGCATTGGTGCAACGATAGTAACTCCTGTGAAAAAGATCGAATTTTCAGTTCCTTTTTTTATGTTAAGTGTTTGCCATAAAACAGAGTATTTGCTCTGTTTATTTTCTTCTTCCTAACCTTWGGTGTGTAGAATTTTTGATTTYCTTTTGTCCGTACTTCCTCCAAGAAAAACCATCGTTTTGGAGAAGAGTTGGTGAATCATCTCTGAAATGCTCTAAACCGCCTTCCACACACCTCTTTCTGCAACATCGAATATTCGAATAGACAAATCAAACATCCATTAATCATAAACGAGTTTTTGATATCTTTTTCGACTATTACTTCTTAGGTGATTTGCGAGCTACGGGAGGCGTTGCCGTGGTTTGAGAAGACTCATGTTGTGACTGAGGATTAGAAGAAGAAGAAGTGAAATTTGTAAAAAGAGAGAGCGCAACCGAGAAAGAATCAAAAACGGTTTCGAAAAGAGGCTCGGTTGGAACTGAGCTTATCCTCGGGTGTTCGAGCACCGTCTTCAAGCGATTAGCACTTTCTTGGCCACGAAGAAGCGCCTCGACCGCTTGGTTAACTCCCAGAAACATTTTTGTTCAGAATTGTGGATGAGTCAAGACTTAAAAGAGCAAGAAGAGTTTTTGTTTCTAAACTTGTTATTTGTGAATGATCCATGTCTTTCGAGTCGTTTTATAATTTTGGCTAAGAAGCCAGGCGAACTTTTTTTACCAAAAAAATAAATAAAAGAGGGAGAATTTTGACATATACTATTACGTAAATCGGTAAATGTAATTATTAAACCGGTGGTAAGACAGTTACGTAAAATATAATTTAACAATAGTATCATATACATAAAATAGTTGCCAACAGAAGAAAATTACAGTTTCTCGACCAATCTTCTGTAAGTTTTTGTCTAATTATATTTGTTAACAAATGAATGGATATTATGTAATTTATTCAAATGAATGGATATTAGGATATTTGCTAACAAATTTGAACATTACAACAGAAGAACAATGTGTTGTTAGAGAAATGTGATATTATGTAAATTTGTGTTTTATTGGGTAAATAACATTGATATTTTCAACAACAAAAATCATGCAAAACTGGTTTAATATATGAGATATATAAATTCACTTTAATAAAATAAAGTAACATATGTATAATGTATAGGTTAGATTCAAGGGGCAATTGCAAAAATGCAATTTTTGGTGTGTACATTTGCAAAAATAACACTTAAGGGAGTCTATCTGCAAAAATATCACT